TGAAAAGTCGATGTGGAGAGTAAAACGACAAGAGTAATATTAAAAAATGTTGATAACTGAAGTAACGATCACTTTCAAACTGGCCCATAATCCGGTCCAAGAAAACAGCAAAAATGTCATCCTGATAAACTGCTTCTGCAAAAAGAAGTCTTAAGTAACAAGAGATGGAACTCAACCAATCGAAACTGATGAAAATAGATTAGGTGCTTAAAAATGTCCAAAAAAAAAATTTTTTTTTTCGTCTTTTCTTCGTATCGAAAAAAAAATGCAGTGAAACCGGTACAATTAACATCATCTACAGCCCTACTGATGATCAAAAAAATGAATACCTTATAAAAGTGAAAAAAATATGCAAAAGTTTTAACACAGTTGCAACTGAATACATCCAGGAATAAATTTACACGGCTGTGTGGAATAACGGAAATGAAAATAGAGTAATGATTTATGACCTACTGGAATAAACCACGATAGTATTCATCATAAAAAACCCAAATGGAAGTAAAACGCTCATTCAAGTATTTTGTGTTTGTGAACTGCACCGAACAGCGTACGCAAATAAAACGGCAAACCGCAACCTGATTTTTATTTTTAAGCTTCTACTTTTCTGGCAGTCTTATAATGAAATTTTAAAGTGCTGGATTCGCGCCAAAAAGTAGGCAAACAATTCTCAGAACAAAAAGAAATCTCGACGTTAGAAAAAAGTTCCCTTCTGATGTTGGTTAAATTCCTGTTATATATGTACATTGTTTTATCCGTGTACCTGTTATCCCGTTCAGTTTGACAAATCCTCTCACTGCCACTTACTTTCTGCTTGACGCCATTCAAGGAGCTTGTGGAATTTTGAGTTTTTCAATTTTGAGTGGTAATTTTTGGATTCTCGACACGTTGATTTTTCATTTTTTTTACTTCCTCCTTAACCCCATTTATCTCTTACTTTTTAGTTCCCTATCTTTGTAGCTTACTGGGAAGTTTCTGCGATTTTTTTCTTTTCCAGTCATACACTTCTGCCTAAAGTGAAAATGGTACTGTGATTATCACTTC